GTTGGCTGGATGGGTGTCAGAAGCTCGGTTTGGGAAGGTTGGTGGAAAGGGAAAGGGAAGCTGAAGGGGGAAAAAATGCTTAGGGGACCTCAGAAAGAAAGGAGAAGATGGAACAATAGGCAGAGCACCGTGGATTTACCTTGCCGCCTGGGATACAGCTGGAAGACTGCAGCGCCTGTATCGGTGTCACACAAGAGCAGGGATCTCTAATGAGACTGTATGTAATCTTCAAAAAATGCATCCCAAGCCACAGGCAAAGAAGCACAGTAAGTTCGAGCACAGCTAAGAAAAATTCCCGCTACTTCAGCATCTAGCGCAGGTGTCTGTGTAAGCTATCAACAAGTCCCATGCCAGTGATCTCAGCTACGTTGTCAACAGGTTGCAAGAAGTGCTCGCAAGACTTTTTTTATAGTTTTCAAGTGATTTAACTCCCCGGTGAAAGGAATTCTTTTTTTTTTTTTGCCTTTACTTGTTTGCAACCGATCCTTTCCAATACTTCAGGAACGCTGCTGCTGTTGTTGGTAGTTTAAGGCAGGTTTTTGGAACGATTGGAGAAGCTTATCTCTTTACTGTGCTTTCCATAAACACCAGGTGTGTGCGTAGCACGTCCCCTGCCTGAGCCAACAAGAAAGTCATAACCCACAGGTCAGAGCCAGGTACTAATAGGCTCGTGGGGCAAGCATTCTTTCATTACCTCCGGAAAGACACACATCTCCCAACCTTTCACGCGGCAACACATGATGGGTTTCCACATTGAAAGAAACTGAAAGCAAACCCAATGCATCTGTTTGGGTTTAGTTCATTCTGCCACGTAGTATTTCTATCGGTTCTTTTTACTTACCTTTAGATAAGTACACAGCCAGTTTCAAATGGCAGCGTTTGTCTCCACTGCATTTTTTTATAAAGACTGAGTAGAATACGTATTGCCAAACAAACTCTGGAAAAACGCGTTAAATGGGCTAAAACTCTTCATGAATTTTGCACGCTTAAGCTTAAGTCACAAGTGCGTTCAATAAATCCAAACACTGGCATTCCCTAAGTGTTTTAGCAGTCAGCATCCAGCTACGTAAACTAGACCAGACTTCAGATATAAAATATTATAGTTTTCTGCTTCAGGGTTTTCCCAGAGGCAGTGTAAAATAAATAGTTATTTGTTGTAATTGCAAGACAAAGCCCCAGAGGATTAGGTTGGAATCCTCGTGTTCAGATAAAGTTGGACTAAACCTCGCTTCAGCAGAGACTCAAAGCAATAACGTATTGGCACGCAGTATTCACCATCTGCATTCGGTAGCCATGAATATTTAAATTCCAGTGTTACTGGTATGGTTCGTATTAGGATGTCATGTATCGATGCATTCCTAAATTTCGCATGCAGCAGTCAGAAAGCAGTAACTTATTACAGAAATAGGCAGCCTGAGCGATTCTGGGGAGCTACAAAACCGTGGTGAGGGAGGGATACAGAGCTAGACGAGGGCTTCAGGGCAGCAGTTTAAAGCTGCCTTAAACCTAGGCACATCTGGGGAAATACTTAGAAATCCAGTACGGTGGTTTGGTGGATCAAGCCCGCACGGCTGGAAGGTGCTCCCTGACACCACGAGCAGATAATTAATGCGCTCCGTGGATGGCTGCGACACCACAGCAGAGGCACGTATCCAGCTGCAGATGGGACGCAGGGTGGAACCGGACTTTGCATCCCTATCTCCTAATACTGGAAGGGGTTTTGGAAAAGACAGACGGTATCTGCACCCTCCCATGCGCAGCCATCCCAGAAGTTACCAGATGTGCAGGACATCCAGGTCTTCCAGAGGAGAAAATAAAGAGCCAAAGCCCTGGTGGTGCAGAACAGAGCACCAAGGTCCTAACGGTGAGGGCTCAGGGGGTGATTCTGTTGTACCACAGCATTCAGGGGATGTGCCCACAGGACCCGGGGGAGGAAGCAGCATCGCCTAACCACGCTGCCTGAGCAATCACATTAACTATTCCATCTCATCATTCGAGGACTGGAGCGTTCCTAAATAACACCCTTCTTCTGGAATGCAATATTTTATACTTGTAAAAATACAGATTCATGCAAGAATGATGGGGAGCGGCTTAATTTTCCTAAAGGAGGCTTAATGCAGAATTTGGTGAAGCCCTCCGGGATCGTTGGAAGAAAGCTCATTCGCACAGTAGAGAAGTGCCCAAATTTGCTCTCTGAACTGGCAGCTCTGCCTAAGTCATCCCAGAAAGAATAAAGCACTTTCAAAAAACCTATCTGTTCTCACTGCATCTGCTAAGAACCTTCCTGTACAAAGAAATAAAAGACGGTCAAAATCTGGAGGGGGTTTGGACTGACATTAGAGCCCCTGTGAGAATCCTTCTGGGAATGAAACCGAGATACATTCGCCAGGAAAATCCCTGCCAGGAGGAATTGCTCCTTTTCTGCCTCGTGTCTGGTTTACAGCAGCATTAAACCAAGGACACCAACAGTGCTACTCCTGGAGAGAAAAAGGCCTTGAGTTTGTACTGCAGACTGCTAAAGGCAGCAAACGAAGCTCTTCTCGGGTACAAACCTGCTAACGGATCCGTAACACAGCCTCCTAGAGATGCTGATGAAACCTCCGGAGAAAGTTTTGCTGTAGATCTTGACATTCAGACTGTAGTGCACCTGTTGCTGAACAGTTGTCGAGGTTTTTAGCTGAAGCTTTAGGTTTGTAGCCATTAATACAACATCTGATGTTTCTGTACCCCTGCTCCCGAATAAAGTCATGTAAGAAGAGACAGGTGCAAGGAGCTGAATTGTTCTTTGAGGGATGGTTTATCGTAAGGCGAGAGCGTGCGGGTCCAGCCACGGCAAAGCTCGGGAGATTATTCAGTGCTTTGGTGGTAAGCGAATCCAGTTGGAGTCTTAATCAAATCTCTCCAAATAGCATCTAGAAAGGCTCAGGGAACAAACAGGATGAACAAGCAAAGCACGACAAAAGCGGTGAGTCCTGGGGGAAAGAAAAAGAGGATGGTTTATCGTAAGGCGAGAGCGTGCGGGTCCAGCCACGGCAAAGCTCGGGAGATTATTCAGTGCTTTGGTGGTAAGCGAATCCAGTTGGAGTCTTAATCAAATCTCTCCAAATAGCATCTAGAAAGGCTCAGGGAACAAACAGGATGAACAAGCAAAGCACAACAAAAGCGGTGAGTCCTGGGGGAAAGAAAAAGGAAAAGGGGAAAAGAAAAAGGAAAAAAAAAAAAAAAAAAGCATGTTCTACCACAAAAACACACCGCTACAATTGGAAAGAAAATTCTTGAGCTGGCCCCAGTGGCCGCTCCCTGTGCTGCTAGAGATCAGATGTACGAAGCTGCAATTTTGTCTAGCAATTGGAGTGAGTTAAGGACAGGATGGATATCCGCCCACATTTTTTCAGCCTTCACTCTGTCTCCTGACTTTTGTGGGTTTAAGTTACGTTCTTAATGCTGTTTCAACATAGTCGTCTTCCGCTCACGTCTCTAAGTGCCACTCAAAGATCAGAAAAGGGAATATTGCAAGGGATGTTGTCAGAAGAGATTGTCACGGGCACACCTTGTAGAAATTTCGTTTGCAAAACCAGCAAGTATTCACCCAGTCTGCACCAGATGAGGGGCATCTCACCCACCCGCTCAGAGGGGAGACGCTAATGCTGCTCCTGGGTTGCTGCTCCTCCTCACCAGGTCTCTGGAGACCTGGGCTCACGTACCACATGCGGAGCGTGCGTGTGGGTACACTCAAGAACAGCTCTCAGTTTCCCTGCCTCAGGCATCCCTTGATTTCTAAATGGAACCAGCAGCGTTTTCATGCTTCCCGGGGGTGGAAGAAGACAAATTAAAAAAAAAAAAAATTATGCTGGTGCTGAGGACTGTTTGTACCTACCGGAAGGTTGATCTGCTGCTCTCCAGTTACCAGATATTTTTCACTTGAACATCCACTTGTCTCCAGCCTGGGAAAGACTCCCGTGTTTCTGGGTACTCCTGTACTCCTTTTCCCCCTGTATTATTTTTTACACTCTCTCTAGTTGTTGTCAGTCTTCCTTCGCTCCCTCCATTTCAAACAGCGGCTGTCGTCGTTTCTGTCCTGCGGATGGGAAAACGGAAGCACGCAGCCGATCGGTAACGCCCTCCACGTGTCAGAACTGGTGGGTAGTGGAGGCAGAAGACCACCCCTCATCCTGTGCTTCTTCCCTCCCTGGTCGTGCTTCTTTTCAGATAAGAGACCACAATAACTACTGGGGAGCGAGCAGAGCAGAGCCAAGGTCCTGGTTTGCCTGCCTGGCTTGGGACGGCTGCCTTCCCTCCTTTCCTGCCTGCTCCTGGTGTTTCTGAAGGCAATGTGTGTCCCCAGGCCAGGGCATGTAGCTGGGCATATTTCAGCCTGGAAAATGTCTGCACTGGTCCATAAACCATGTTTTCTGTCATTTGCTTCCCTGTTTGTCTCGAGGAATTGCTGCTCCCAAATCTGTATTTCATCTCCCCCCACCACCTGCACCCGTTGGCTGCAGGGAGGGCTGGATTCAATGCACAAGCCCCAGAGTAGGCAGGGCGAAAGGAGGACAAAAAGTCTGATACCAGGTAGGAAGACTAATTCTTGCAGCCAGCTCAGCTGCCAGTGTCTGCCTGATGAGTCTGCGTTGAGCAAAGGGGGGACAGAAGTGTCCATTGCCGTCTGGTCTCTCCTATATTTAGGCGGTGATGCAGTTACTGTCCAAGAGTGATCTGGCGGGGCAGAAGACACGTGCCCCAAAGCTGAGGGGTGACTGGGAGCTGCAACTGCCGCTGAAGTCAGCTGGCTCAGGTGGCTGCTCGTCATGTGGGGATTTTAGACTCAAGGCATACTTTTAAGAGGAGCTCTGGGAGGTAACCTGATCAGAGCGGCAATTGGTCGGGACCGGACCTTTTGGGATCTATATTAAGAGACCTGGAGCCACGCAAAAGGTTAGAGCAACTTTGTCCTCCTGCCGATGGAGACGTCTTGTCCAGACATTAGGTGGGATGGTGAAAACCCTCTTCCTTCCCCTGCTGCTACCTCTCAGCTAATTAATTCAGCACTGGACATGGCAAAGACTGCCCACGACCTCTAGCTAGGGAGCATGTGATATCCAGAGCCTAGCACAACCCCACTAATGCCTTCAGGAGGTTTGCCTGGGAAGTTTGAAGGTCTCCACCACTAGTGATGTTGGCTTTGTTCAAACCGGTTAAAAAACTGCACCTAGTTGGGGGCTGTTTGTTTTTAAGTGCTTCACCAAGGGTTCTCCTATTACAAGTCTTCCCTCCATCAAAACAGCTGCCATCCCCCTTACCAGCAGCGCGGCAGACCCCGCTAATTTCTTTGCCAGAAGAAATGAGGCTGCCCCTCATTGTTTAAAGTATCTGACACCATCGTTGTAGGTTGAAGCCCATGGGTAAAACGATTGCTCCCACAGGGCTGGGGATGGCTACGACTGATGCTGCGGGACCGGGAAGGGGCTGGCGTGAGGCTGGGCAGGCAGGGGGACATGCGGGGCAGGAGGGAGTTTCTGGCAGTAACAGGCAGGGGGTGATGGAGGAAGGACCGGCAGCTCCCCGGCTCCGAAGGCTGTGGAGGAAGATGCATTTCTACCTGTGTATATTTGGATTTTATCCCTGCGGCTTGTATATACATTTGGGGGTGGCAAGTACCCCGCTGGAGTGCCAGGATGAAGATGGCCCTCACAGACATCTCTTCTAGTGCTTTTTGCTTATTTTTATTGAACTCGTCACTTTTAAACATGTGAGACTACCATCTTGGAGCAGAAGCCCCCTGGCGACATAAATCATTCTCCTTTTGGTGAAGAATAAAACCCAGCATGGTAACAGCCTTCTGAAATTTCTAGTGGGCCAGGCACAAGTTTCTACATCTGTCTTCTTGGCGACAGTTAGGACAAAAATAGCCCAAAAGAATGAAACTTAACAAATCTTTTCTCATTAGCAAAGGTAATTTGCCTTGGGCAAGTCAAATTCGCAATGCTGGGGAGAAGCCTAGAGTGGAAATCGGAAGATTGCACGCATATGGGGCTATAGATTTAAAGGACTGTGTCGTTATAAAGAAGGGAAATGGGCTCTGCAAAGGTTGGGAAGGGCTGGCTCGTGTTTGTCACCAGAGCCTGGTGTTGGTTTTATTCTCTGTTTGATTTGGACTTCTTTTCTGTTTTAGGGATTTTGGAGTTTATTAGCCTGGCAGTGGGGCTGGTGAGCATCCGTGGGGTGGACTCAGGACTCTACCTCGGCATGAATGAGAGAGGCGAGCTGTATGGGTCGGTAAGTTCAAGGCTTTGTGCTGATTACACCACTACAGAACAGACACAGCAATACAGGCTGCGGGGCCTCATCGGTGTCACGAGCTGTGTCTGTCGCAGGCCTCCGAAGTCCCTGGGCTGCCACATACCTCCATCCCACCCGTGATGCCGCTTTTGTTGTAGCATAAATGATATATATGAAATAGGGTTGCGGAGGGAGGGCACACTCGTGTGGCGAGAGCCCATGGTGATTCCTAGCCCTCAGCTGGGGGGGCTTATCAAGGTTTTGCCTTTCAGAAACACTGTGGCAACGGTCGACTAAAGGCAGAAGGGAAATTTAGCATAAAACCAAGGGCTGCTTGTGTGTTTTCATTGCCCGAGTAACACATCAGTTTTATTCTCCACGTGATCAGGATCTGCACCTATCTGCAGATTTTACATTTATATTATAGCTCTTTAACTAACGGAAGCTGAAGTTTTGGTCTGAGTGTTATTTTACTATAACATTCTTTACGACTCCCTTTAGGAGCTTAGGGGAGTTGCTCATAATTTTCAAGAAGTGCCCTTTTCAGACTAAAATTTTCCATGTTTTGCCAAAACCCAAGTGGAAACCCCTTGTTAGTTTTTCACTTCACACAAACTCCCAAATACCTACGAACTCTTCCTAATGTCACCTATAGCAGACTCTGCCTCACCCTGTGCTGCTGTGGGACAGAGAAAGCAGAAGACACCCAATTTCCAGTCCAGGCTCAGGCTTCTAGTGGCAGCTTGTGAGTTTGTCATTTGCTGCCTTGGTTTGGGCCATGCCCCTAGAGCCGTGGCTCATGGGCTGCACTGCCGCAGCCAAGACCAGCTCAGGTTCACCTCACTGCTTTTCTGCCCAGTGTTACTGAACCCGCACCACTCAGCAAACCACTTGGAACATGGGCAGGAGCTCCGATGAGCCAGCCCCCAAAAGAGAGCATACGTCAGGGTTTTGCTGGATGAAACACCCCCACACGGAGCAAACGCTTCTGCAAAGCTCAGCCGGGACTGCGGGGAAGGGATGCTGCGAAGAGCTTTGGCATCACAGGTAAAGTCTCCATTGACCCGAAGAGAGCTGAGCTCTCCCCTGCTTCTTTCTATTCAGTGAAGCATTAAGACTTGCAGTCAAAATGTCAGGTCTTAACAATGGGGCAGAGGTGCTTCCTACAGGTTAATTTAACTCAATTCCTAATTGTTTAACTTCACTCAATATAAAATCGTTACTTCTAGTTAGCTAGAAGAATCACTTATACTGTGAAAAATTAATTGCATTCTAGATAGCCATTTTTAAGTTTCCTTTTCTGTAGCTGCTGCACTTCACTGGTGCTTTTTCTTCAGATGCCCCATTGCCTTTAATTCAGCCCATCACCTGCGTGTGATTTTTTTTTTTAAATGCCTCTTTCTAGATCACAGCGCTACCCTGTGTGAGGATACTGATTTTTAAGGATGGATCACAGTAAATTTAAAATGAAATAAAACAAAGCAGTTTTAAACCAAAGCGGAAGGCACAAACTCCCTCTAACCAGATCAGGTCAGTCTCGTAGTGCAGAAATTTCCACTCGTGTACTCTGCATGTGGAGAAACCTTCAGTGACAAGCAAACAGGAACAGTAAACCATGAGTTTTCATCATCTTTTCTTCTCCCATTCCCATCTGAGGCTGCCACAGACCCTTTCTCTATTTCAGACGCAGTTACTGATGTTTATGTGAGATAATCAAATACTAGCAAGCACTGACAGCTGCTCTTTCCCCACTTCATTTCTATAAGAACATTTACCCCAAGCGAAAGTTAAATGCGGAGGCAGCGGTTAAATTACAAATGTGCAAGACAGATAACAAAGTAAAATCACCGGGATTTCCTAAAACACAACAGATCTTAAAGCAGGGCTGGAGGCTGGACCTGCGCAGCAGCACCTCTCCCGTCAAACCCCGAGGCTGCTCGGCAGCTCCTGGAGTTGCAGCTTTTCCTTGTGCCTGCTGAAAAGGAGGACGCAAGCCTGCATACCCCCTTCTGTGCTTTCAAACCCTGCAGCTCCGGCTGTGCGTCAACACTTTCGCGATGGGTTAATTAAATGCAAGGGCCTGTGCTCATGTGACGACGCAGAAACAAAAATAGGATAATCTGGAAATGGAAGTGACCTGAAGACATAATCACGGGATTTCTCCCTCTGTCCTTGCATCTTGCACGCCAGACAAGGGACTGACCGGCCACTGCAGGGCCACAGTCAAACCACTGATCCAAACCGTGCAGAAGTCACGAGCCGGGTCCCCAAATAACCCTGGAGTTTTAAAATCTGGGATACGTGGGTTGTACAATGATGGCTTTTCAAAATCGAAAGCCACTACAGTATTCTTAATTAAAGGTCCATAAATCAGCGCCTCACAACAGCATTAGCATTACAATGGTATTTTAGGAGATGACAGTACAGCGGTATTTTAAAATTTTGAGCAAGTTTATCATTTCCCTCTGTGCTAATTTTGCCTGATCTGTGTGTTGGTATAGCCAGAGCCAGCCATCCCCGCAGCGACACGTGGAGTCCGCTCGGGACAGACAGCTTTCCTGCCCGTCCCTGTTAGCCTTGCGCCAACGTTTCTGTGAAGCTTTCCACCCATTTCAGAAAGGCAGCTGATGCTAAGAGTGGCAAAAGTCACAGGCAGCACCTTGCACGCTGCCTGTACAGGGTTGGGCTCGGTGGGGACATCCCGGGGCTTGGAAAGAAATAAATCGCACCTTGCGGAGTCAGCCCAGGCTCTCCAAACATTTTACGCAAGCGCTGCACCTCCAAACAGCCCGGTAGGAGCAGGTAAACTGGGGCAAAGCAGGAGCGCACGAGCTCAGCCGGTTGGCAGTTTCCAACGTATTCTGAGTAGATGGCATCCTAGGGGAAGGAAAAAAAAAAAAAACCAAAGTTGGTATTTATTAATGGATCTGGGAAGAGAAACCCACAGTTCCCCAGGTCTCAGATGGCAAGGGCTGTGGCGTAGGCTTGTGGAGGGCTCGCGACTCACCTCAGGGTTTATTTCATTAGCAGCAAAGCATTCAAAACAGGTTCTGGGCGCAGGTGAGCTCCTGGATTGTGTTACAAAACATCTGCTGCAGGCAGTGACATTTGCTTAGCACTCTGCATGCCCTAATAAGACACATTCCCCACCCAACAGTTTACAGCGTAGGTACAGTGTTTGTAATACAGCAGCCTACGTTTGCAGACTGCCTTTCATCTGAGAGGGCTCCCGTGCCCCCCAGCAATCCCCCGTGGGAGGGGGTGGCATGGCGGGGTGCCACACAGCACTGCAGGGGACAGGGCGACAGCCCCACTCCCTGCTGCGGCTGGGCACGTCCCTGTAGCTGGCACGGGGGGAGATGGGAGGGAGATGGACGGAGCGATGGGCACGAACTGAAAAGTCATCACCAAACAGCCGCTGCCGACAGCCCCTGGCTGTACTGGTGGGAGGGAAAGGCCGGTTGTGGCCGCCGTGACACCAGTGCCATCCACTGCCCCGGCCCAGCGTGGGCCGCACCGGCTGCGGGCTGGCACACGCTCATCGCATCATCCATCACCGCCGTAAATCTTCCCCGGGGTTAGGCATCCCCGGAGTGCTGCTCCCCATCCAGACCTCCCCGGGCCATCGCGGCTCCCGGGCGCCTCCGGGGATGAAAGGCCCGAGGAACGCTTTCATTCGCCTTGCAGCGCGTACTGCTACGCGCCTTGGACTTCCAAAGGGGGCTCGCTCCTGTTCAAACCCTTCAGGTGCGCTGCCCACTGCTTCTCCCGGGGCTGCCTCTCACTTTGAGCATTTTTGCTGTGTGTGCAGTACCTGGGGACGGGGCCTGCTTACGGGGGGGACGGGGCTGTGAGCGGGCAGCCCTCGGCACAGGGGACAGCCCCGCCAGGCGGCACGGCCACCCCAGCAAGCTCCAAATGCGCACCCCAATGGCAGAGATTCAGGTTCAGAGTTTTGCTATGGCCCTGTTTTGGTTCGGTTTGGGTTTTTTATGGGGCAACCTTTGCAAAATGCACACCCACCTTCTCCTCCTCCTTTTGTCGCCTTCCTCCTCCAACTTCAGAGGTCTTTGGGTCCCGGCTCGCGTCCATTCCCAGCTCCCACCCAGGGGAAACGTCCCCAGCAGCACAGTCCGTGGTCCGCAGGGGAGCCAGGAGGAGGTAGTAGCTAGGAAAACTGTAGGAAAATAAAGTGAAAAAAGGAGGAAAAGATTTTTTTTTTTAAATTTTTGACACAAATGTCTTTTTCTTCCCCTCCCGCCTCTGCCCCAACGCAGAAGAAGCTCACCCGGGAGTGCGTTTTCCGAGAGCAGTTTGAAGAGAACTGGTACAACACATACGCCTCAACCCTCTACAAGCATCCCGACTCGGAGAGGCATTACTACGTGGCTCTGAACAAGGACGGCTCCCCCCGAGAGGGGTACAGGACTAAGAGACATCAGAAATTCACTCATTTCTTACCCAGGCCTGTGGACCCTGCCAAAATACCCGCGATGTACAGAGACCTCTTCCACTACAGGTGATGTTCCCTGCAGCCGCCCCGTCAGTGTACATACGTGGGCTCCCAAGCTTCTTCCCAGAGCACTCTATTAGTAGTCATTCCATCGTTCCTGTAAGTGTAGACGACGTAGGAAAGCACTTACATTGAATTCAGACACTGCTGTTCCTCCATGTTTCAAGCGTATATCGAAGCTGGGTTATTTATGGGGTGGGGGTAGGGGAAGGGAGGGAACCCTACATATAATCTTTCCTTTACATTCACTTTCTTTACCCGGTTGCTACGAGAGAGGCCGAATAGTCAATGTTACGGTTGCTTAAAGGAACAAGCAGGCGAGCAAACCTGATCACCAGAGCGGGGGGAAAAAAACCAAACTGAAAATGAAGAGATGGAAAGAAACCAAAAGACCCCGGAACGGCTGCGGATGCTGCTGCTGAGCTCGGGATGGTTACCTGCTAAGGAAAAGCCTTGCGAGTGGGACCCTGCTTAAGCAGCCCGGGAGTTTGCGACATGGATGATGCTACGTGGACTGGACCTGATGCGTGGGGTTTTTCCTGCTGTTGGGGTGGGAGTGGGGCGAGGAACATTATTCAGATGTAAGCATGGATACTGTGCATAGGGACAAAACTATTTATAAAATGTATATGATATTTATTTTATATATTTATTTATTTCAAAATAATTTTATTTTTAATGAGAGATGCTATGACCGGATTTTCATCAGGAAGAATAAGGTCCTACTGAAACAGGAAAAAAAAAAAAAAAAAAAGAGTTTTAAGAGCTTATCGGCAATAAAATTGTCTTTATATTGTAGATTTCTTGCTAGCCCTTTTTTTTGGCGCTTTGTGACAATTCACCCAGTATTTCCCCATCAATATCAATGTTAAGACCAGCTCTAAAAAGGCTTCATATGGTAGAGATGAATTAACCTAAACGCCAAACTCTTGTACCAGGGTGAGATCAAATGGTACCTGGCACGGACCTTGGAAGCGTGACCCTACTGAAACGACCGGCTGGGTGTCTAACGAACCTGAATTTCCAAGAACTGCAAATCCTGCCCTCTCCTTTACTCTGTTACGGGCAAAACGGGTCCTCGGGTGGTGCCGAGCACCAGGCACAGCTCAGCTTCCGTAGCCGTCGGATGGGATCGCCCCAGAACGCGCGTCGCCATCGATGCGATGGGAGGGATCTCGCGGGCACGGTCGGCATCCTCGGGCTCTCCCTCGCCGCTGCGGCCCCGTGAGCCGGGGAAGCGCCGGCGCAGCTCTCGGCGCGAGTTGTCGGCAGCTGAGACACTTCGGCACGTGACGCGGCCGCTCGGGATTAAACTGTCCTGGCAAAATCAAGCGGGGAAACATTTGGAGCATCTGCCAGGTGTTTGGATGGACCCATCGTCCCTGCAATAAAACCACCACATCTCACGCGAGACTTACCTGAAGCATCGTGAAAAAATCAGTGAAGACAAAGTCGAAAGCAACAAAAGCAATTTAAAAAAAGAAAACACCTCATTTTTAAGCAATTACCGTGGACGAAGATTGTCGCTGCAGGCAGCGCTTGGACGTTCACGGCTGCGTGGCATGTTCCTCTGCAGAAGC